TGTGTGATATGTTTGTGAATGCCTCTTTTATTAAACATCCCTCAAAAGAAAAGGTCAGAAAAGGCCAAAGAAAAATTAACTTTAATAAATATAATTATAATGCTCTAATTAGACAAAAGTCAAGAATCCCTTAGGAGGCGATTGGCTGCATCGAGGATCTACGATTAGTAAGATTTAATAAATTCATATTTTTTAAATTCACCCTCTTGTTAGGGCTATTAAAAAAGTTTTTTGTTCGCGAACAGCTCATGTTTGGCTCATTCAGTAGCTCGTGTTCGACTCGTTCATTATGTAAAGAGTCGAACACGAACAATTTTTTAAAGCTTGAATTATAAACAAGACGAACACGAATAGCTCTTTGTTCGCTCGTTTTCAGCTCATTTTAGCTCGAAATTAAAAAAGAAATTATATAATTATTTATATTGTAAACTTATATATATATATATATAATAAGTTTACAATATAAATAATTAAATAAATATATATATATATATAAGTTTAAATTATAACTGATTGTGTGGTTATGTGTCTTCATTTACATAGATTTAGTTCATGTTCGAATCCAACACTCGATTTTTTCTAATTAATCTTAACAAACCAATTTCGAGCTGAATATGAACAAGAATATTTAAATCGAGTCGAACGCGAACACACTGTTCCTAAGCCAATTTCGAACACAAGTCAATTTCATGCACAAGCAACTTCAAACGAACCACACACGATCCAAGCCTCGTTTACAGCCCTACCCCTTGGTGGATTTATTAAATCTATACTTAACATGTGTGGAATAAAATTCATACCTCAAATTTAAATTTTCATAAATTCATGAGACTTATGTTTTTTGTGTGTGGCTGGAATTTGTAAATACTAGCCATAAATCCATGAGACTTATTTCAATGCTTCTGCTGGGGGTATATACATAATTTAATAATTTCACTACTTACAACTGTCATGTCATCAAAATTAGCTCAAAATCTTCCAAAGCTTTATCAAAAAGAGGGCCTTTACATTTATATCAGACAGTTTTTATGCATTTACCATATACAATACCCCAACTATCATGTTTACACATAGAGCAATATAGCACTTAAATAATTATTATTATATAAAAAATACTAATGTTGTGTGCATGAATATTCGTGACAGTCGAGTGATAATTTAACGTTTTAATGTTATATGATGATACATCACACATAGATAACTTGAAATTAATAAGATAAGACACCAAAATTTTTTACATGAAAAAAATTGAGAAATAAAAGAAAAACCACAAAACTTAGCCCAGACAAAGTAATTCAATATAAGTTTGTAAGTACAAAGATACATTCTTTCAATACTTGATCGTATACAATGTAGAGAAAACTTCAGAAGTCTAGAAAGAGTAATTTTAGTATGAATATGACAGTCATAAGAAGTTGTCATGAGTGTTCAATACGGGGTTATTTGTTACACCACTGCTAAGTTCAAATACATCGACGAGTAGGGGGCGAGCGGGGGGGGGGGGTGGCCAGGGGCCGGGGGGGGGTGGGCGAGGGCGGCCGACGAACGGTGGTCAACTATGGTCGAAGGTGGTCAGCTACTACGGAAGCTAGTAGCTATCGTCGGGTCTTAAGTCAAAAACGACGCTAAAATTTGACTCATAGTTCTCCTCCTCCAAGTGAAGAGGGGGGGACTATTTTTAGCACTTGGAGGAGAGACATTTTACTCATACGACTGCTAACTCCCATAACATACTTATCTGACGATCCATATTGATATCTCTTTATCATAGAGGGTTATTTAACGATTTGAAGACCTTAATGACCACAAAATTAAGTGAGCTTAAATTTATTGGATTTATCTTATCAAGACGCTCGATTTGACTATAATTATGTCGAATTTTGAATTCAATTGACCATCCAAGGCTTGATTTGGAGCTGTTTGGACTCGAATCGAACCAATTTTGGTATCATCGAGTTCATTTTGTCTAGAAGACCAGTTTGACTATAAACATTTTGAAATCAAGGTCCTGAGTGATTTTTAATTTGAATCTAAAAAATTTCCCTGCCCATGAAAAAAATTGAGAAATAAAAGAAAAACCACAAGACTTAGCCCAGACGAAGTAATTCAATATAAGTTTGTGAGTACAAAGATACATTCTTTCAATAATTGATCGTATACAATGTAGAGAAAACTTCAGGAGTCTAGAAAGAGTAATTTTAGTATGAATATGACAGTCATAAGAAGTTGTCATGAGTGTTCAATACGGGGTTATTTGTTACACCACTGTTAAGTTCAAATACATTGACGAGTAGGTGTAGGAGGTGGTGGTCGACGAACAATGGGCGGTGGTTGACAATGGCCGACGGGAGGTGGTCGATGGCGGCCGACGAACGGTGGTCAACTATGGTCGAAGGTGGTCAGCTACTACGGAAGCTAGTAGCTCTCGTCGGGTCTTAAGTCAAAAACGACGCTAAAATTTGACTCATAGTTCTCCTCCTCCAAGTGAAGAGGGGGGGACTATTTTTAGCACTTGGAGGAGAGACATTTTACTCATACGACTGCTAACTCCCATAACATACTTATCTGACGATCCATATTGATATCTCTTTATCATAGAGGGTTATTTAACGATTTGAAGACCTTAATGACCACAAAATTAAGTGAGCTTAAATTTATTGGATTTATCTTATCAAGACGCTCGATTTGACTATAATTATGTCGAATTTTGAATTCAATTGACCATCCAAGGCTTGATTTGGAGCTGTTTGGACTCGAATCGAACCAATTTTGGTATCATCGAGTTCATTTTGTCTAGAAGACTAGTTTGAATATAAACTTTTTGAAATCAAGGTCCTGAATGATTTTTAATTTGAATCTAAAAAATTTTCCTGATTAAATTTAAAAAGGTGAAGAAAACAGACAAAGAAAAAGCTAGCATGCAGAATTGATGCGATTTGGTGTATTATTTGTCTTGTTGTTCCGCTCTGGCTTACAAAGCTGGAGTAAGGATACCTTCTCTTTAGAAATGATGTCTTTTTTTGTTGGGGAGGGCAAATGAACTCTCTTTACTGCCTAAATTTAAAAAGGTGAAGAAAACAGACAAAGAAAAAGCTAGCATGCAGAATTGATGCGATTTGGTGTATTATTTGTCTTGTTGTTCAGCTCTGGCTTACAAAGCTGGAGTAAAGATACCTTCTCTTTAGAAATGATGTCTTCTTTTGTTGGGGAGGGCAAATGAACTCTTAAACTCATACTTTAAGATTCATCAATTTATTTTTAACTACTGTGTTACCCATTCGAGCACAACTTCTCAATCAGCATAATTTTTTTCATTTTTTGCCGCCAAAGTTGAGTGTTTTATCATCAATTATAAAATTTCCAAGTTCAAAGTATTATCATGTGGAGCCTGATTGTATCAATTAATTGGGCATTCAATGTCCTAAATTTTACCATTGAAGCTTGATGGTGAGTTTGTCGGGATGTACAGAGGAGTGTTCCTCCCGTATTGGACACGATAGTGGCCTTGGGATTTTCCAATCGGTGCTAGGTACAAAAAAATTAAAAAACGTCGGGGCAATACCCTCCAAAAAAAAGAATTTTTTCTTTTTTTTTTTATACCTAGCACCCATTGGAACGCCCCAACACAACTATCTCAGCATCTCGATGTCGTTAACCAAATTTGTGCCGTTCTCTGCATAAATTTACAGTTTTGTTAGTTTGAATTTATGATAGAAGAGAGGAAAGTTCTGAAGCATTCCAAAATGTGGAGAGACAAATGAAGCGAAATTTGTACAATTTTCTTAGTGTGGCGTGACTCTTTGATTCTTTCTTGTTCTCAAATTTTTCGACGTCAAGGCTTGCATTTTCTATGATTTTCTCATTTTGTGCATTTACGTTCACAATTTTACTTCAAATCTTTTGAATCTATTTCCGCAACTTGATCACATCGTAGGAGCGCCCCAACACAAAGTCCAATCACAAGATTAAAAACTCAATTTTTGCAGCAGGTATCCCAAATCAAGAAATATTTTTTTAAAAGGGAAAAGCTTAGATAAGGTACATCGAGCTAAATATTTTCTTTGTGATAACTTTGCTTCATCTTGCACAACAACATTATTAGTTTTATTTCGCCAGAATAATCTCTACTGTTATGTTAACAAAACAGATGCCTTGCCTTCTAAAATTTATGCCTTGCAGCCCAGACCTAAATAAATTGATCCTGCATTGTAGATAATCTTTTGCTTCCATTACCATAAAAATTGTGCCATATATTCATACCAACCCAGAAAAATTTGTCCCCTAAAACGTTACATGTAAACAGAATCAGAGAAGAAGCGTCATGATTGATAAGTGAATGAACGGACAATAAACTGAATGACACTTTTTAAACTTATGCCAATCAGCACTAAACTTCTAAGTATACAATTTCATACATATATAAATAAAAATTAAAAACTACATGTTAGATATGTATATACAAAGAAATTCAGTGACATGCATGCAAATCTTCCAAGCATACTAAAGTGCAAAAAAACAGAACCTAGACGCATTAACTGTCAGAAATTCAATATATGGCAAGAGATAACTGATGGAGGAGGAGGAAGAGCAAATCACACTCACAGGAGGTCAGCCACATTTAGGGCTGTTAAAACGGCTCGTTTTTAGCGAACAGCTCGTGTTCGACTCGTTAAGAAGCTCGTGTTCGGCTCGTTTTAGCTCGAATATAACTCATCAATTTTATATATATATATATATATATTGATGAGTAGTATTTTTAGAAAAATTAATTAACTACAAGATCACAAAGATTTATAATCAATTAAAAGTATTAATTAGGAAAATAAAATAAAAATTATTAAATTAGATTAAAATGATGTTTTAATATAAACATTCTTGCCCCAACCCTTAACAACTTATGACTACGTGATTAGGGTTGTCAAAACGACTCTTTGTTTGAACAGCTCGTGTTCGGCTCGCCAAGCAAACGAGCCGAACACGAACACACTTTTTGAGCTCGAAATATAAACGAGCCAAACACGAGCTAAGGCTCGCACGTGTTGGGCTCGTTTACACCCCTAGCCACATTCGACGGAAGCTCCTCAATCACCACATTGTAGAACTTCTGAATATCACACAGCATCCTCGTATCCCATTGCACCCGGAAAGCGTAAAATGAAGTCATGATGAGCACTTCAAAAATAATTGCAGCGATGATAGTTACAGTCCCGTAGCTTTTACCAAGAAACATGGCGCTGCGTGCATGCCAATAATGATGGATAGAGTAACATAACGCCTTGCTGATGTGATTTATAGCATTCTTCAAGCTGTTAAAGGAAGGGAGTTTAAAACTCCACTTGTGAAGCACCTCCTTAAACCTGCAAAACAACAAAGAGTTGGAAATAATATGTACTCGGTCCTCCACCCCCAAGCCACATCTTCTTATGCCAGACAGTTAGCATTAGAGTTATTAGAATTTTTATATCATCATAGCAATATTATCGAATGTGCTTAATATTTATAATTGATATTTATGGAATTTGTTATTAAAATATATACCAAAAATATTATATTTTATTGTATTTTTTTTATTCCTCGATTTTCTTGCTTCCATATAAGTGTGTTTGAGCTAACACCAAAATTAATCAAGATATAGCATCAATTTGAAAAACAGTGACATATTTGTTATCACGCAAGTAAAGATGCAATCAAAAGTATACAAATTTTGAGTTTGTGTATCGATCAAACGATGAACGAGTTAAGTACTAAATTACTAATTCTAAATTCAGATCAAAATATTTCAATATTTTTAAACGTTCTCTAAGAATTTTGAATTAGAAAAACTACGCCAACTTATTTTTTTTTTGTTTTTGCTCTATATACAAAGTCTTCATTATATTGGATTTTGTGAGAATTCAATTATTTTTCCACCAATTTTTTTTCTAATGTTTTTAACAATCAGGGACAATTTATTTCTTACTCTATTCCTAAACAAATGAAGCATTGAAGCATCATATTGTGGTTAAGTCCCCTTAACCATACAAAGACTCCAAAAATTCTTCATTCCCCTATGTGATTGCAATCATTTGATGATAATATTCATATTTTACCAAGAAATTGTATGTTAACCTACTTGTTCTTCTAGTCTACGGTCAATCGTCCTATAACACAAGTTATTTTAAATTTTCTAGTGGCCAGTAAGAAAGTAAAAAAAGCCTTAACCGTGTAACATATCACTTTTATCCTTCAAATACCTAAGGAAAATAACATGAAATAAATAATGGTTTCACAAGAATAATATAAAGAAAAGAAAACTTAGTTCCTACACATTAATATAGAAAACACAAGCAGCCGTCTTGTCGTTCCTGCTTTCCAACTGCCCTTCATCCATCACGCCACCAGTTTCCCAACCCTCGCTGATCACCATAAGCACCTTCGGATCCAACCCTAGTTGAGTTTGTGTGTCGTGTTGTTATTATTTACTATTCTATTTATTTGGTTGTAATTCTCTCTTTGCATTTCAATAATAATATTTATTTTTCTATTGTTGTTTGGGTTAACTTCAGTATCTCACAATCTCAAGTTTTTTATCTGGCTACTTGAAATCGTCTCATTTGAAAGCTCAATGATGAAGGCTTTTCTTGACCGCTAGTGATCATCTTCATCCTACAGATCTCACAACTTTATCCAGCTCGTTATATCATGATCATCTTTGTACATCGTCGCATCTTGTCAATCTCTCATGCTCCTGCCCTACGCCGCATGTAGCTTATAATCCAGCTCAACATGCATCTCATGGCATTAATATAGTTCTGTTTTATGTCTCAATTAATGGATTACCAAATTCAAACTTTAAATATGCCATATTAGTTTCCTATTTCAAATGTAAAATTTATTTAGGGAGTGTAGCTTTACTCTTTATTCTATTCGCGAGTTCTACATAGTTGTGAAGAGTAATTGCCCTTGTTGAACGTAATTTTCCTAATCATAGACCGAAGTGAGAGCCTACAAACATTACATAAGAAATTAATGAAAAATTTGAATCAAACAGCTAAACGAATCTTTCATGAAGTTTGTCTGACATTGAAAACAATTCATGCTCATTATTGACCGTTGAATTTGTTGGAGATAAAACGTTTATCTTTCTCTTCTCATTGCCTCTACTAAAATAAGAATATCAATCATTTTAAACCTCTAAATAAGAAAGAAAAACCAGGTGCAGAATAACAGTGATGACTTAACCAATTAGAAATTTGAGAAACAAGTAGATAAACTTACCGGAAAATAAGCAGCCAGTTCTGTGATGGCTGTTGCTGATTGAATCTTTTATAAATTTCCCAGCATCAAGGCTGTTTTGTATCCGAGTTCTTATCTCTGATCCGAAGTTATCAAACCTTGCAAACTGTGTAACTGACAAAAGGAAATTTATCCCATTACTAATTCCAAAACAGTAAAATAAAGACTAAGGGTCCATTTAGGAGGACTGTGACTGCAATTTTTTATAAAGATTGTTGTGAAGAAAGTAACTTAGAAAGTTATGATGTGGATTATAAATATTTATTATTTTTCAAAATATTATATAGCAATTTTCTTACATTCACCGCACAAGAATTTAATTGAAAAAAAAGTAACTTTTTACCAAAAATTTTTTAGAAATACTACGACAGTAGTTACCCAAATAGAATTATTCTGGCAGTCTCTGAAACACAAAGCATGCAGAAAAAACTATCCAAGATAGACTCTAAACTGGCCTAATAACTTATTCTCCAATTTATCACAAGAAACATTACCTTCAAAACAACCTTAAAAGCTCATCATGCAAGATCAATGTTTGGCGCGTATCCATGAATCATCATCTCATCTATCAAAATATCAATGATATGATGAATCTCTACTGACACTGCCTTCAAACCTTCAGCAGCATGGAACTCATGGACTTCACCATCAACCTCAATCCAGCTACAGCCTGGTGTTTTAGAAACACCCCTCTCTCTCATTAACCCTCTCATCCTTGCAGAATCCTCCCATCTCTTTGAACCTGCAAAAATCTTCGAAGAGATAACATAATTTCCCGAGTTTGAAGGTTCTAATTTGAGTATCCTTCCCATAACTCTCTTTCCAATCTCAACATTTCTAAAACTACGGCAAGCACACAGCAAAGCCCCCAACATTACAGCATCAGGCATCTCTGGCATTTGTTCCATTACATCCCATGCTTCTTCTAAGTTTCCAGCACGAGCTAGAAGATCCACCATGCAAGAGTAGTGCTCAATCTTCGGAACTACTCCAAATTTCGACTTCATCAAACCGAACCATTCACGACCTTCTCGAACCATTCCGGCATGTACACAGGCAGTGAGTACACCAATAAAAGTTACATCATTTGGCTGAAGATTTGGCTCCTCATTCCTCATTCTGGCGAAGAGCGAAATGGCCTCTCTACCTCTCCCATGTAAGGCGAGCCCAGAGATCATGGCATTCCAAGAAACGATATTTCTGCTCGGCATGGAAGTAAAGATGCTGACTGCACGGTCAACATTCCCACATTTCGCATGCATGTCGATGAGAGCTGTCCCAACATAAACATTGTAGTGAAGGCCTCTTCTCTGTGCAAAATCATCCACCCATCTTCCTAATTCTAGTGCACCAGTGGCACCACAAGCTGACAGTACTCCAACTAATGTCATCTTGTCTGGTTCCACATTTGCTTCTCTCATGGTGTTGAATAGCTTGATGGCTTCATTGGATAAGCCGTTTTGCGAGTACCTGATTCAGAAGTGGTTTAGCATCATACCTTGAGCTTATAATCAATTAGAATTAAGGGATTGTCTGGCAACGGATTTAATTCAGGATTTAAGTGGACTGCTGGACAGTCATTTTGGACAAAATAAATCCTCGGATGCCGTAAATCCGGATTTTGTGGATTTCGGCGCTAAATCACGTAAATCGTAAATCCCACAAATGGGTGATATTAACTTCACGGGGCTTGAAATTTAAATTTGCAGGCTTCCGACTATCTCCAAGAGCCATGACGACTACTTAAATCCTTGCATAAATTGTCATACAGTTCTATTAGTGTATATTATAGAAATGCAATCTAAAAACGATCGAGCGGTCAAGAATTGGAGCATACACGTGGGTTCTCGGACACAGAACATAGAATAACATAGAATCCATAAGCAAAGCCATTGATTGATTTGATGGCACTGTCGACCGAGAAGAATCCTTCGTCTAGCGAAATCAGTCGACCGACGAGCCTATTAACCGAGAGGCCACAGTCAAAATCTACTCAGCCTAATCAAGCGATTGAATCATTGAAGAGCATACAGTCGGTCGTCGCGGCCGACCGACACACGCATACGGCGAACGATCAACATAATCGGCCGATCCCAAAGCATTGTCCGGCCGACCGGATGTCGACTCTCATTATCAGTATCATGTAATTTGAATAAGAATCATTAAGACGGTTATAGAAATTGTCATTTCCATACATGCATTTGTATTCTAAGACCCTTATATATAGGAAATTCTGATATCAATAAAGAGACTTTTGAACTCTCAGACTTGCTTTGTGTTCCTCACACTTTTGGGTTTCTGATACCTGAATATTCTCTCGCAACCCTTCCCCCTCTCTCTCTCTCTCTCTCTCTCTCTCTCTCCCCCCTCTCCTCTCCTCTCCTCTCCTCTCCTCTCCTCTCAGCTCTAACTTTCGGGGAGTGTTCCCAAGAGTATAATCTCAAATTCAATAATTAGATTTACAGGATCTAGTAAAACCATTGCCAGACAGATTTCCGGATTTAACCCATTCAGGAGTTAGTAAATTCAGATTTAGAGGATTTGTTAAATCCTAATACCTTAAATCTCAACCGTTGCCAAACAGCACCTAAGTAGTAAGAAAAATAACACTCTTTGGTTTTGCAGAACAGTAATTCCTTATGGTCTGTAACGGAATAAGTTCAATCATGGCCAACTAAAATAATCTCAGTAAACTATGAAATCTAGACTCACCCTGTAATCATTGCATTCCACACAGCTAAATCTGGCTTCAGTATCTTATCAAAAACCTGTTTAGCTTCATCAAGATTGCCACACTTCCCATACATATCAATCAATGCAGACCAAATAAATGAATTCATCTCCACTCCACTCTCTTCCACTAATTCCGCCACCTCCAACCCCAAGCACAAATCCCCCACCTCGCCGCACGCCGCCAGCACGCTCGCCGCTGTCATCCCATTCATCTCAAACCCTTCCCTTCTCATCCTCCTAAACAACTCCAAAGCCTGCATAGCAAAGCCCATCTTCATACACCCTGAAATCATGGCATTCCATGAGACCACATCCCTCTCAGAAATTTCATCGAACACTTTCCATGCACTTTTCAAATCCCCGCATCTAGCATACATGGTGATCAAAGAATGTTGGGTGTTGAGATCTGAGTCAAGACCGCGCTGGAGAGCGGAGCTGTGGGCAGAAACACCATGGTAAGGGGACGGTAGGTTTGCGGCGGCAATGAAGACGAAAGGGTAGGTGAACTTGCTCGGCTTTTGGCCAGAGTGAAGTAACTGGAGGTAGAATTCGAGGGCCAAGGAGTAGTTTTTCCAGGAAGTTGAGAGGCCGCGGATCATAATGTTGAAGGAGAAGTCATTTGGAGAGGGGATTTGGGAGAAGAGGATGGAGGAGTAGGAGAATGTTTGGAGGTCGACGAGCTTGCAGAGGAGGTGGTTATGACAATGGAGAGAGGAGACCAGCATCTGAGTGTGGATTTGCTTGATAGATTCTAGGGTTTTGGATTGTTTGAGAAGAGAGAGGAGATAGGCTGGAGATGCATAAGGTTTCGGTTTGAGCATTTGAGCTCGAATGGCGGGAAGGTGAGGACTGTAACTTCTCCGAGCGTTTATTAACTAGCCTAAAGCCTTTGCTATTAGAATAAAGGAAGTTTTACATACAAACCCCTCCATTTCAATGTATTTATTTAATTTTTACATATGAATTTGTTATGTACATAAATTTTCCTATATATATATATATATGTTAAACATTTATATTTACATAAATGATATAGTTTTTCTTAGAAGTCAATCTTTTTATTGATGAATATTGTATATGTTTCAAATTTTATACACATGATTTTAACAATTGATTGAAGGTTTGCATAAGGACATCGTAAATATATCAAATGAGAGAATTCAAAAAATGGTCCCATAAGCTCCCAATGCATACGACTATCAAACATCAACACCCGCCATCAACATTGTGGTCGAAACTATGTTGTTGCCGCCAAGATGTTATCTTCATCAAGGCCGCATTACATTGACATCACAGCTGACACTTATCATTGCCAATAATGCAGCTGCACATTGTCCTTGTTATAACTCGTAGTCATTAATGTGATGTCTCGGCCCATCAATAATGACAATAATATTTTCGCCATTTGGGTAGCACATATCATCACTATGAAGATCAATGTGCACCATGCATGTCTTCATTATGTTGTATATATGCTACCAAATGATTTTAAAAAAAAATGGTGAGCTAAGTTTTGTGACTTGCTTCCTTGTCTTCATTATGTTGTATATATGCTACCAAATGATAAAAAATGGTGAGTTAAGTTTTGTGACTTGCCTCCATAAATTTCATGACAAAATTGATTTCTTATGGGCCATTTGATCATTTGAATGTACCAAGCTTAGGTGTTATAAATGGTATGTATGTAAATATTCTTATATAAATTGTAAAGAATAGCATAATTAATAAAGAGAAAACATTTGAACCATGATAGATTTTATATAATTTGAAATTGCTTTTAAAATAATGTGATATAAAATTTAATTAATTAGCCATATGTTATATTAATCTCAAAACAAATTTAAATATATAAAACTTACCCTCTTCTCATCCAAATAAAAGGAAAAATCCTGAACTGGTTCTCTTTAACAAACTAGCAGTCTTTACAGCGAACTGTTAAGCATCATGGGGTATAATCCTCTTTCAGAGGCAATTTAGCAAACGCATGGCAGGCCAAGTTTGGAAATAGCACCAAATACATCAATAATAATAATAACGTTATAGGCTTATCCATTCTAAAGGTCCATCTGGTATGGTTGTAATATTTGTAGCAGAAATTGTAAAATCCTTAAGAAAAAAGAAAAAAAGACTTTTTTATTGAAGTCAGCATCAAATTTCAAGTATCAAAACTTAAAAGTTCAATAAAATAGTTCTGAATCTGGTTCAAGTTTCTCACACTCATGGAAAGAAAGATCAATATTCAATACAACAAGAGAAAAAAATGCAAAATAAAAAAAAAATCAATAATTTCAATTATCAAAACTTAAAAAATCACATCTGAATCATCTCAGGGCTCATCTGTTTGCTTCAGTAAAAAAAAAAAAAAAATTGCTTTTGAAATACTGAATTTGTTAAACTCCATTACCAGATCTTCTGATTTCTACTCTAAAATCACTTTCAAACTCCCTCAAAACACAACAAACCTGTAAGTAACCGAATGAGACCTTTGCTAGTTTTGATTCTAATAAAGAACCTTGGTGAGCCGTGTGGTAATGCAGAATATAACAAAATATGTCCCCCTCTGCCTTCTACTTTCAATATCTTAATAGGTGGATGAGTAAAATAGATCCACCAAATCCATGGTTAAGAATCTTTGAGGAAATCTGCACAGCTTTGGCTGTTATTGCTTGAATTTATCCAGAAGCAGAACTTCCTTCCATGCTTCGTAGAACATCCAAGTAATGCCAGATGAGGGCATGACCTTCAAGCAGCTCGCCCCCCAGCCTCTGTAGAGCCCGAGAAAGCCCACCTCCCGAACAACCTCGGTGAGTGCAGCCGCCATGTTGGGCGGGCATTTTCCCTGCATTTTTCCGATCATGAGCCGTTTTCTCGCGACTTCAAGAGGGAAGCTGATGGTGCTCGCCGTCAAGCCTAAATGGAGGAATAAATTAGAGAAATAAATTAGGATTATATATATATATATATATATATATATATATATGAGCCTATGAATCATCACAGCTGACTTGCTAATAAATAAGGTATCTCTAAAATGAACAATAAGCAGTGAAAATGATCTCATAATCAGAATCAAACTCCATAGAGATCCAAACAATAAAAGTCCATAGGGTTCCAAACAATAAAACATCCACAACACCAATTTCATGTGCTAATACCAAATAAAATGCACCCAAGAGCCATGACCCGCATAGTCAGAATTCAAATTCATTCCTTATTTTTAGGAGCGTTTACATACATACCACACATTTTTTTCTAATTTACATATCTACCACATAAACATTGATATTTACATACATGTCAGTCAAATTTTTAACATCACATAAAAAATACCACCATCAGTATCTTTTTTTAAAAGTGAAATACACCTTTTTCATGCAGAGATTTATGAAATGAAGGTGTTATAAATGTAAATATGAAACTTAGGGTGTTAGATATATAAATACATAAAAATTGTGAGGTATGCATGTAAAATTCCCTTTTTATATGAATAATTTTGAAACCACTGCTCAATAAATTTTGCATCAAGTCAAGTGGTTCAGAATGCTTCATAACTTCTATTTGTGAGAAATATCTTCAAAGGACCACAAACTTCATATCAATGCTTTCACCATGAACTTCAAATAACATTATAGATCATAAAGTAAACATGTGACCGCGAAAGTTACATTCTGTGGTTCTATAAAGCATAAAAGAAATGATTTTATTCAAGATTGTAGCGAATTTACAGGTTTGTCAAGAAACTTCATTAAAAGAAAGGATTACGAAGGAATAGATTCATATTAAAAGTTCAGGTTTTGGGACTGTTTGGAGAAGCTAGGTTCTATTGTGTTTTATTGTACAATATAAGCAGGGCTCTATTGTGTTGCTGATAAAAGTAAATGTCTATTATGTATTTAAATATCTAACACCTAAATTTCCATAATTACATTTATAATACTCAAAATTTTGACATCATCTCAAAAATACCTGTTGCTAACTTTTAAAACTGAAATACACGTTTTTATGATAGGTTTATGACACCAAAGTGTTAACAAGTATAAATATCAAACATTGGGGATTAGATATGTAAATACATAAAAATTGTGTGATATATGTATGTGAATTTCCCTTGTAAAAATCATATTAAAATTAATCTCTCAAATGTTATATGACTCGCAATTCTTTGGAAAAAAAAAATTGCCATGACACTGGTATGAATTGATAGAATGCTGCTTTCAGTTTTCATATAGCTATACTTTTTACTCACAGTTGTTACAACAAATACCTTAAAACTTCAAGAAAGCAGAGGCAGATAGACAATCAGAGCCATAGATTGCATTAAGTGTTACCATGAAGTAAAGTAAGGTCACAATTTTGGCTATAGGAACATATTGTGGAAAGATTTGCCGCTCCAAGTACCATAAAAAAAATTTTGTAAAGATGCTTATAAAATTATAGGGGCAAAGAAAATATTTCTTATTTCTTTGAAAATTAGTGTGAGCATTATAAATATGATCCTTTAAAAAAATTTAGACCAATAATTTTTTTATAGTTATCACACATTAACATATTATGCGGTTAAAAAGAGCTTCCTACCACACAATCTTTTGCAAAGAAGCAAAAAAACTGCAACCAATAGTAGATGAGGTAATAGTATCCAAGCATTGGAAAAACTGCCCCAAATAAACCATAATTCAATAAACTAGCTTAATAGTTATCGATATATGAACAAAAAACTAAAGATAAAATCACACCTGAAACAGCCCCAATCAATAGTAGCTCAGGACGGTTCAGATTCTTTTTCTTCTTTGACCGACAATATGATGTCTTTATTTTCTCATACATGAAATAGTAACACGTGCTGTAAGGAAGCATGCCGACAAGGGTTGGAAATATGCCTGCATATAAGCCCCTAACACCATCATCTCTGTATATTCTACTGAAGGCAAGGCTAATGGATGGGTAGATCTCTCGATTCACAGTTAAACGATCCTGTTAGCATAAAATTGTGATCAGAGAACAGCACAATCTGGCATAGAGTTCTGGTGAGAAATTCTTTGATTGGTCAAAATAGGAATTAACACTTAAGAGAATTGACATGAACAAGTCTGGTAAGTGCTTGACAAATTTTAGTCATTTAAGTCATATCAGGGATAAAGAAAATTGGTCTTATAAAATTGTGCCTTGTGACCACTAATCTTAAGTTTCGAATAAAAATATTAATTTTATTCCAATTATATAGGATTAATTTTACGAGACCACATTCTATATTCATGGTCATTGATTGTTACATTGTGTTCAATAAATTCTGCACAAATATTTTATGCAAGTTTTATTAAAATGTTACATATAGCCCTCGTCCATATCCTTGCACACTAGTTTAATCTACTGGCATTAAGTTTAATTTTTGCCAAGTATTATATAGTACAAATTACCCTAGTTAATTTTATGTTGTCGTACATTCAATAAATGAGATTCCAACTCATATTTGTCGATAATGCACAAGTATGTTTCATGCAATGGAAATATTAGCGGGTAGAGTTTGATGGTGATGATTTTTATTTTATGTAAGAAGATGTAAGGAAACCCAATAGAAATAATATGAGGCTTGAAAGGCTTTTACAAAGTGTAGGTTCAAATGTAGCTAAGATCTATCAGGATATAGTGGGATTTAAATTAAGTTTTAAATTGCCGATTTGTGAGGAGGTTAAGAGGGATTTATACGCCAAGATATCACGGGTGGAAGGTATCTTCACAAATCGGAGATTAGGAACAAAGCCATGGAGTTATTTAGGGTATTTATGTGGAGGTTTTGGTGAGAACAGTGAGAAGAAGGTTAGTTAGCTGTGCTTGGACAAATTTTGAGTAGCTTGGTTATTTAAGAATTGGTGTAATTATGTAAAAAATTAGAGAAGCTCCACAACACTTAAAAGAGATTTGTTGATGAGAACAATAGAAAGACTATGCAAATAAGATAAAACATAAGTATTAAACTTCTCAAAAAATAAGGATATCCAGGATCAACAAATCAAGGCTAATGGTTTAGCCATTAAGCTTTCTCTAAGGAAAAAGAAAAGACTTCTCCAAAAGATTTCCATTTCATTTAACATATTTTCCTTATAGATTTCATAATATTAAAAAGCATTGCACATAAAGAAAAGATCAAAAAAAAAAGATAGTCAAATTATCATAACTAAATTTTAGCCACTATTTATTATTTTCCAATAATATGAGCTAGAAAGATGAAACTACCCTCTGAAATTCTCATAAAGATAGTTGGTTGTACTTGCTTTGACTTAGACTTGACTTGGCAAAGTGAAGTGACAATGATAAAATGACATATAGATTTAACTCCAGTAATTTTGCATTATGAACCCCACCTGGATAATAATTCTAGCTCATATTACATTTTTCACATTTAGCATTCTTACATTGCAAATACTATTCACGTTAAATTCAAATTAAAAATAATTTTTAAAAAATGAAATATTGTAAAATGTAAGAGAACTAATGTCTACTGATAGCCATAGATCTAGTGATTGGTCTATATTAAACCGATCTTAGATCATTATTATAGCTCATAGCAATGCACAATTCTTATATTATTGGCATATCAAGGTACAAAAAAAAATAGTGAGTATTATGAGCGCCTTTTGTGTTCTATGTGGGCTATTGAATGCACTATTTTGTTTGGTTTGGTTAGCTTAGGGATTTAATCACTGGTTATTTAGTTTACATGTATAATAGGGCCTTCATGCAGACATAGAACTATTGCGACATCATTATCTGATGACATATAATGTTAACAAACGGTTAACAACAAAATTAGATAATAAAATAGAAGAAGAATATGAATTACTGTTTGGTGAGAGATTTTACATGTTTGTCTCATTGTAGGAGTTAGTGCTGCCTATGAAAAAGAAAAATATAAGATTTGAGATCAATCTAAGGCAAAAGAAAATGAATCTTCATTTAAGCTAGTATGTTTGCAAATAAACATGAAAATGATGAAAATGTTGAAGAAGACTAAGATTCATAAGATGATAATGATGGAGGTAAAGCTTGAAGGTCAATGATGATAATAATTATATGAGTATTTTTTTTATGAACAAAAGACTTGCAAACAAACTATTTCTTATGTTTGGGTCTAAATTCCAAAGTTTGTTATTACAACAATGATAATTTTATTTGCAAATATAATTGCTTTCTCTCACATAGAAATTTATTTTTCAATCCAAATGTTGTTTGTTAGCCCCATATATATTAATGCAAGCATATTTCTATTTATGAAACATTTATAGTGTTTTCCATTTAGGATATTTCCCTATATTGTTGAGCTAACTAATAATTTAATCATTTCTTTTTTAGTTTGACAATTTTCAAATGCCAACCATTTAGGATATTTCCCTATATTGTTGAGCTAACTGATAATTTAATCATTTCTTTTTACAATTTTCAAATGCCATGCGGCAAGCTATGCACTATTGGGTTCCAAAAGACTCCTTCACCATAGTATTTTATTCGTTATTGACAAAATGCACCCAGCATTATTCTAATATATTCATCCCTCATTATATCATTCATAATTTGGCCACAAGCAATTTCAATATTAGTGATTTTTCACCACCTAATATTTAAATTCATATAATATACATGACCCAATTACAGAATTCTCAGAATTTATCTTTAATCTCCGTAACATTCTCGTACAGCATGATACTCCTTGAGTAAAACAATATCCTAGAGAAAAATAAATCTACAGAAAGTCATGCTAGATCAGCAAGCAGAAACACCATCTTGCTAGTGTACAATGACAGCATCTAAAGGAAATTATTTAAGCAAAAACAACCTAAAGGTACCCTAACTTAAGGTACGATATTATGGATCTAAGAAAAAACCATGTAATAAGTTTATTCATTTTGCTGAAGGATCCAAATAAAGAAACAGAAACATGCAGTATAAATTAAAGGAAGATTTACATGCATACCACAACTCAATTACTACGTAAGTATGTAATTACATATCTAACGCTTAAACTTCAATTTTGACATACCACCTCACCTATGCATGAAAAGGTGTACTTCACTTCTTAAACATAAAATGGTGGTTTTTTTTTTTTATGTGATATCAAAGATTTGAGTGTTATAAATGTAAAAAAGCAAAATTCAGATATTAAATATGAAAATTCATAAGAATTGAATGGTATTCACGTAAATGCCACAAAACTAAATAGTCAGGCTTAAGAAAAATGCCAATTCTTCTGTCTTCACAACTGAAGAATCATGCAAGAATAGCAAGTAGTAGGATCAATTGCTGTAACATAAACATCAAAGAATTTTAACTTCCATATTACTGTAAAATTAAAATACCAGCTCATGTATCAAAAGTGAATTTTTCTATTTTAACTATCAGTAGGAGCATTCTTAAAATTTCTACCTTAATTACTTCAAGAGGGTGGCAAACAACTGTGCTCACAATACCAGCCGCAGCACCACCAACAGCAATAGGAGAGAGCCATGAGAACGACAGATCCATCTTTATACTGCCAACTTGCAACTTTGGATTTCCCTCATCTCTCCATTTCTCTTGTGCCGATGTTAACATTCGCTTAACACTTTCAAAAGTCGCGAGTTCAATTGCCTGGGTTGGTACTATTCGCACCATGTTGATCGTGTTTCCAGCCCAAAGGCCTTGCCAACCATTCTCTTCAATGATCTGGAGAAAACTGCCGGTGATGTGTTTGGATCCAACTCCAACGATCATTCGTGTCCTGAAATTGCCATCCATGCAAACTATAACACAAAAAATGCAAATTGTAATGATGAAAGCGAAAAAAATCAACGTTTGCATACAACACCGCTGGTCACAAGGATATGTTGGCAGGATAAATTAATTGCCACTAATACCATACAACTGAAAATTGTCTAAAATTCACAAAAGCTAAGGGCTCCTTTGGCATCACTTCTACCTTTTTGTTTTCTCATTTTTTTAAAATATATTTGGTTAATTTAGAATGCTTTTATTTTTATTTTTAAAATAAATCAACTTACTTTTAAATATACTGAAAAAACAGCTAAAAGATGTAACTACCTCAACCAAGCATGTTTTAATTTAAATCAAAACATAAATAAAGCAAAAAATAAAAGTGGCCCCAAACGGCTCCTAAGATAAAGGCATATTAAGGGCTGATACAATTTCAATTGACATCATGAGCAGATAAAGCAAAAAAAAAAGAAGAAGAAAAAAATAGCAAGCCTAAATTATATGATAAAAATATTAGAAACTCAAAACCTGTCAAATGATGAATTTAAGTGCCGTGATTTTGAATTTAAATTGCAAAAACTTTTCAAACGTGAAAGGAATTTATCAATAAGTTACTCTTGCATAACATGGTCCAATTTTGAGCTTAGAACTTGTTTGGTGCTTCAATTCATCAAGCTGGGAAGAAGACAGGACCACATTTTTACAATTTTCAATTTTGTGACGACTGCAATTTCTTTGCAGCAAAATAATTCAACGAAAAAGAGGATCTTAACTTTTGTTGAGTACCAAACACGGTTGTGAGAGTTGTGAGAGTCAAATATTTTGAAGTCAAATATTTTGAACTTATGCATGTATAAAAAGTAGAAATAAGAACTGAAAAAAGTTTAACTCAACTCCCCTACAACCTTTCATTGAAAACCAAATACAACTATTTATTAGAGTTAATTTCTAGATTAGTCGATCAATAAGATGCAGAGGACTCCATTGGATCCTTCTAAATTTGGAAGAACAAACCATGCCCAACACATGGAAAAGCAGAACTATGTAGAACTTTCTGGAAGAACAAACAATTTTCCCCACTAGCTTCCCTGCAGGCTCTCCTACAATTGTTTTCCCTGCAAGTTTCGGACGTTGATCCTTCATGCGAGATCTTTCAACCGCCAGACCTCCCGATCTCCTTCCAGGACTGACAAATCATCTACACATAGTCGAACCTATCCCCTAAAGCCTCTCCTGCCACTAGAACTTCTTGCAAACCTACCCGTTGCCTGCTGGACCTCCTACCAGAACCGTCAAACATAATCCTGCGGCCGGTTCTCTCTCCTACAGCCTTTCACCCCGTCGGACTTCCCTTCTGCAAGTTTTCCCGTCGCCAGATCTACCTATGCAGGAATTTCCCTTGCAAATTTCAGGCAACTGGACCTCTTCCCCATAGGTCCCTAACAGTCGGAAATCATCTTCGCTTGCTAGAAAACTTCACACCTTACTGACATCTTCTTGCCAGCCGCTAATTCTTAATTTCTGTAGCAGACACTGAGGCGTCCTCCATAATTTCAAATGCATGAATTATGGAAATGAAGAGAAGCTTGTTACAGAGGAGTTCATCTTTGGTTTCTTTCAAAACGACTTGAGAAAGATTACTACAGATGCAAGACTGAATTTATCATGGAATAAAATCCCAGCAGCCGGCCAACATGCCCTTCTCCGTCGGTTTCTTCCCTGCTGCCCAAAAACTCCATGCAGGTTCTTTGTTCTTCCTTTGCCACTAGAACTCTCTTTGCAGCCGGAAATATCATGGTGCATGCCCTCCTCACTACAGAGCATCTTCCTCTCAGAGTTTTTTCTTGCACCAGGCCCTCCGGATTTTTTCCTGCAGCAAGCCCTCCTCCAAAACTTTTCCTGCAACAAGCCCTCCTCCGAAACTTTTCCTGGAACAAACCCTCCTCCGAAGTTTTTTTTCTTGCATAAGACCCTTATCTGAAATCTTTCCTGCAGCAGGCCCTCCGCAATCTTTTCAGCAGCAAGCCCTCCTCCGAAATCTTTTCAGCAGCAGGCCCTCCTCCGGAGCTTTTCCTACAATAGGACCTCCTCCAAAATCTTTCCTGTAGCAAACCCCTAAAGTTTTTCCTGCAACAAACTCTCTTCTAAAGCTTTTCCCTTGAGTTGGCACTCCTCTGAAGTTTTTTCTTTGCAGACCATGCTCTACAGCTTTTCTTGTAGGTTGTCTACTTCCTTGCAAACTTGCCTGCAACATAACTTTAAGAGTCTTCTGCCTACCTACAAACACTGCAAAAACTGCATTCAAAAATAACTACAGTCAACTAAAAATATATCTAATTGCTCTAAGGTTGATTACCAAGTACAGGATAAAGACTTCAAGTTCTATCTCACAAAAAATATTTCTCATCCATTGTTTCAAATCAAAATTAAACATAGTTGTCAATCGTGTTTCAACTTGAGGGGAAGTGTTAGAAGTTATATTAGGAAATAATTTATTCTTATTAAAATTTATAAGAATTAGATTTATTTCATATATTGGATTTATTTATTCTCTTATTTTAGATTTATTTCCTTGAATATTTTAGGCTTTCATATTTTATATTGTTTTCTTTATCTTCGAGTAATTATTATGAATTAATTAATTAGAGATATAGGTGTTACATATTTTCTTTCATTTTATTTCATTTTTTTGTCTTTACTATTCTAGAAATCATGTGAGGAAGAATTCTGATGGAGGACCTATTGCAGGAAAAGCTCTGGAGGAAAGCCAGATACAGGAAAAAGCACCGGAGGAAGGTCAGATAAAGGAAAAAAGCTCAAGAGGAGGGTCTGATTGAAACAAAGCCATCGGAGGACCTGCTGCATGAAGAATTCTGGTGGAGGCTCTATTGCATGAAAAGCTTCGAAGGAGGGTCTGATACAGGAAAAAACTCTAGAGAAGGGTCTGTTGTAGAAAAAGTAATGGAGGAGGTCTGCTGTAGAAAAAGCTTCGGGTAGGCCTGTTGCAGGAAAAGCACTGGAGGAGTGCCTGTTGCACGAAAAATTTCGAAGCAAGGTCGGTTGCAGGGTAAGTTATGGGGGTTAAGGAGGACAGAGAAAGGCCAACACATGTAATAACTCCTATAATCGATAGAAGGCAGCCCTCGTCAATGACTAGAAATATAAGAGCGGTCATTTTCGCATTTGAATCTGGAATGTATTTGGGTCTTCGATTTCTGGACTGAACATAATTGATTATGGAAGAAGATAGTTTCGGCCAGTGATGGAGGTCATCCTTGCTAGTAGCAATTTATTCTCTTTCACTGTTGTTTAATTTCTTACAGATTACACATTTCCACAAAGCAGAACGATTAAAACTTCTAAAAAAAGGTTTGGATAAGCACCGCAATTCAGGCAATGATGAGCATCGCCTTCAAAAACTTGAAGGCCTGACGTTATCTCCCTCCCAGGAGACACCAAAGCTCCAAATCCCAATCTTAATATGTTTGCTTGCTTTTTACATTTCAAAACCTTATGATGTAAGCTGTAACAGAAATTGAACAGTTCCATTTGTGAAATTTGGCGATGAGGACATTGGTAGAGATGAACCAGATGAGAAGAACGAGATGAGAAGGCAACTGGATGTGGACTAGCATGGTTATCTCCCTCCCAGAAGACAACTGGCTCTGATACCATGTTAAAATTCAGAATAAAGCGGAATTATTTTTGTTAGAATAGAACCAGAGCAAATCTTATTGATGCAAAAAAAATATAAATACCCATTATAGAATCTATAGGTAAGTAAAAAAAACATTATAAAAAGGAAAAAAGGAAAATAAATAAAAGCAAATCAAAGCAATTAATACATAATTTTAAATATTAATATTTAATATTCTAATATTAATTATAATACTCTCCCTCAAGTTGAAGCATAGATGTCAGTCATATTCAATTTAGACTTGAAATCATCAAACAGTGTCCGAGGAAGGTTTATAAGAGAATATATGTCAGATGACCGCCCAATGTCACAAATGAAACACAAATTTCCCCGAACTCGAGATTTTTCTTAATGAACTGACGGTCAATCTCAACATACTTCGTGTGATTATGTTGGACCGTGTTGTGAGCAATGCTAATATTCATCTTGTTATCACATAACAACTATAGGGAGCGGAAACTGTCACGTAGTTCATGGAGCATGAAGCGTAACAAGAGAGCTTCACAAATTCCCAAAGACATTGCCTGAAATTCGGCTTCCGCACTGCTTTGAGCAACTATAGACAGTTTATAGCTTTTCGGCATGACCAAGTTTTCCCACACAAATGAGCAGTATCTCGAGGTAGATCATCGATCGTGGACGGACCCGGCCCAATCCGAGTTTTTGTAAATAGCAATAGAATGAGAGGTGTGACAGGAAAAATATGAACATGACTGTGGTGTGTATTTTAAATACTGGAAAATCCAGTGAATAACTTGAAGGTGGTGCTCATAGGGATCAAGCATGAATTGTCTGACTATCCCAACTACATGCCATATGTCGGGGTGTGCATAGGCAAGGTAGATAAGTTTCCTCACAAGACGTTGGTCGTGTGTCTTGTTAATAGGAACTAAATTGAAAACATCAATAAGTTTTTCATTGGGATCCATCGGGATAGTCACTGGTTTGCATAAGAGAATATTGTTCTCCGTCAAAAGGCCAATCACATATTTATGTTGAGGCAGGCAAATACTCTGAGATGGCCAAGAACCTTTCATGCTTAAAAAATACCGGAGAGATTTCAAGTTCTTCATTTCAAAAGAAGTAGTAATAATGCCTTTCAAAGACGCCAATGCTGATGTGAGAACAATATCATCAACACAAACAATAAGAATAAATACTAGCCGCTAAAGGAATGACGGAAGAAAAGTGTGTCATCTGATTAAGCCTGGTGAATCCATGGTCTACCATCACCTTTGTGAATTTCCCCAACCATGCCCGTGGTGACTGTTTCAATCCATAAAAGAATTTTCACAGTCTACATATTTACC